TTTAAAGCATCAACGTGTAGAGGCGTGTGTAGATCCTTAAGTCCCCTATAGGATAAATAAGCTGGAGAAGCTTCAATTGTCCCCAATGAACTATACTGCAAAATGTTTACTGCAATGCTTAAAGGCCGGGCATGAAAAAAAGAATTAGATTGCTAGACACCCATTTTTTCTCTGTCTAGACAGAAAAAGAAACGAACGTTGAGCAACCTATAATTTGTTTTTTTGCCCGACCTCTAAGCATTGCAGTAAGCATTCTAATATAGTACAGACATGGTTATTCAATTGGGCTCCTCGATGAACGTAGGTGTAGTTTTTTAAATGCACTGCCACGATAAATACGCATTAATTATACATAAATGTTTAATGCGGGACAAATATGCGCTTTAAATGTGCATGTACAATTCGCATTTAATGCGAATTTTAATGCACATTTAGAGCGCATTATACGTGCATTGGCGCTCCTTGGGTACATACTAAAGCGGGGAGCGCACACTTTTGTACAAGTGCATAAGCATATAACATAACGAATTTGACTGGTCTATAAGCAAATGCGTAAAGGCGCAATTTCACGTGCTGCTGAAATAAGCAAGTGGAGCGACAGATCTGTCGCTCTTATTTCAGCGGCAAAAATTTTGTAGTTTGAACAGTTTCAACTACAAAGTTAACGCTCAAGCGTTGTACCACAGTATAACCAGTAGTGGCACTCGCTCTTTTGTTTCACGTTCGCGCCGATCCGTACTGCGCATCCGACATGTTTTTATTCTGACCAATCACAGGATTTTTGTACGTGTGTTAGTGCAAAGTCGGTGTGACATTGAAAAATTTGCTGTGTTGACGAATAACGCGTTAATACTTTTATACGTTGGAGCAAGTAATTACATTAATTACTTTTATTAGAACATTTTTTTTCATAGGCCATTTCCATTTACAATAAATAATGTACGCTAGTTCGTATGTGCCTTTCCTGGATACGATCCTGAAAAGGGCCCAGGCACTTTTAGCCGTTGATACACTGTTGGGGCGATTAAAAACATGGCGGAAAATTGAGAACGCCCAGATCAAAGGTACCGACAGAGAGTGGGCATACTGGTTATACTGTGGTTCCGCTCTATGAGTTTGCACCCTTAGTCCCAGCCTACAATAGATGATTTAAGCCCTAAGCTTTAAGAAATTGGCCAATCACGGTCAAGTATGAGAAGAATGCGCGACTGTGATTAGTCAATTTCTTAAGGCTTAGGGCTTAAATCTCTATTGTAGACTAAGTCTAAAGCCCGTATCAGACTACGGATTGGGATTGGGATTAGATTGAAATTTGACCAATCAGAGTAAAAGTTACTGAACTTGGGATTAGTAAACTTTACTGTGATTGGTTAAATTTCAATCTAATCCCAATCCCAATCCGTAGTCTGATACGGGCTTTAAAGCCTCCGCTACAATGATTCTCGGTTCTGTCTACAATGGTCGTAGTCGTAGTCGCTCGATAAGAATTGACCAATCGCAGTCGATTATTCTTACGACTACGACTTTACGACTTCTATGTAGACGAGGCTTTAAGCCTCCGCTACACTGATTCTCGGTTCTGTCTACAATGGTCGTAGTCGTAAGAATAATCGACTGCGATTGGTCAATTCTTATCGAGCAGCTTAAGTCCCAGTCTACAATAGATGATTTAAGCCCTAAGCTTTAAGAAATTGGCCAATCACGGTCAAGTATGAGAAGAATGCGCGACTGTGATTAGTCAATTTCTTAAGGCTTAGGGCTTAAATCTCTATTGTAGACTGGGACTTAAGCCTCCGCTACAATGATTCTCGGTTCTGTCTACAATGCGAGTCGCAGAGTCGTAGTCGTAAGAATAATCGACTGCGATTGGTCAATTCTTACTTTGCGACCATCGATACAACTGTACGACCATTGTAGACAGAACCGAGAATCATTGTAGCGGAGGCTTTAAGAATTGACCAATCATAGTCGACTATTCTTACGACTGCGACTTCACGACTTCTATGTAGACGAGGCTTGAATGGTATTTAAAAGAGGCAACTTTGAAGGGCAAGATGGCGCAACCGCACAATCTGTTTATCCCGTGCATGCGGTGCACGTGCTCTCAACTTTGGCCAACAAAATCGGGAGAGTCGCGCGGTACTGTATTATTATACAGACTCGCAGTATGTCCTTGCTAATGCGAAGATGCAAATTCGACGGTTACTGGCGATACCCGAAGCTCGTGAATCGGATAAAGTTTCACGAGCTACGCGTTTCGTCGTCGACTAACAACTTAATTTGGACCTGGAGAAATTTTTCTAATGCGCACGCGGCACCGAGTGTTTTGGACGATAGGACTAAAAAGTTTTTAAATTATCTCGCGAACGAGTACAAAAACAATTCCTGGAAGAATAATCACTTGATCGATTTTGTCGATTTAAATGCTTCCGGTGACTTATTGAGCGAAAGACTACAGCTCGTAAAAGATATTCAGAATTTACATGATTTAGGTAAATTACACAAATATTCTACAATGCCGTTATTCGCAATTGTTGACAACGACAAATTTCTTTTTACAGGACAGCAGGATACAGAGATGAAAAAGTTGGCGGAGGAGGAAGAAGCGTTGTACGAGGAACAATTGAATAAACTTGACGAGAGATTATTGAACACGATACTGACAAACATGTACAAAGATTCGTATGACAACATCATTGTCGAAATAACGGCGGGTGTCGGTGGTCAGGAAGCAATGCTGTTCGTCAAGGACTTGTACAATATGTACATAGGCTACGCAAAGTACCTAGGTTTGGATTCTGAGGTAATCGACATAGAGATGACCGATAACAAGGGCATTAGACACGTCAGTATTATGATATCTGGCGACCAAGCCGACAAGTTCCAACACGAGGGCGGCGTACACAGAGTACAGCGGGTGCCAGCCACAGAAAAATCGGGCAGAATACATACCAGCGCTGCCTCGGTGGCAATTTTGCCGGTGCCATCGGAAATACAGATTGCGATCAACGAGAAAGATTTGAAAATTGAGACAAAAAGGTCGTCCGGCGCAGGTGGTCAGCATGTGAACACCACCGATTCCGCTGTGAGGATAACGTATCTACCAAGCGGGCTAAGTGTTACCTGCGAGGTACACAGATCGCAAGATAAGAATAGAAGCATGGCTATGAACAAACTGAAGAGTATTCTGTACGAGCAGCAATTGAACAAGCAAACGTCATTCATTACCGGGTTGCGGCAAAAGCAAATGGGAATGGGACTCAGGAACGAGAAGATCAGAACGTACAATTATAATCAGGATCGCGTAACTGACCACAGGCTAAGTCAGAATGGGACACTCTATAACTTGACGGAGTTCATGCAGGGCGGAACGGCTCTAGAGGAATTGGAGAATCGATTACAAAATCATATACGAATGAAAACTCTGCTAGAAATAGTCAAAAAGCTTGAGACACAGTCAAAGTGATGCTAATCTTTTCCTCAATCTCATTTTGATATAAAAGATTGTATATAGGCTTCATTTATATAAGCAAGTCATTGTACAGAAGACATTATGATCGAATATATGTATATAATACTGATACATCCTCATTCATCTTTCGATGGTGATATAATTTACGTTTACTTTGGTAGTGTGCAACACAGACTTGATAACTTTTATATATGCACACGTATTTATATATAAAAGTTATATACGTATATTGTATATGTCGGTCGAATTTCTTACTTTTACATTTATTTATTTTTATCTTAGTTACGCAATTTAAAGCAATTTTACTTATCTTATTAAATACAAAAGTACAAATACAATAATATACAAAACCTATACGTTTATGATTTCGTTTCTGGATCAGCGCTTGTTTCTAACTCATAAAAATTGTGGAAAATATTCTCGTTACTGACATATCCATACTTTTTTTTTATATTTAAGTTTCATATATGCCTTGTCTTAAACAGATTGCACAGCTATCCGAGACTTCAACACACAATAGGATAGCGATCTCATCAAAATTTCCATTACTCCATTATTTCTATATTTAAGTAATCTAAATGTATTTATACTAAATTTTTAAATAGGGACTTTTGTACTCGTGCAGATATGCGAATTTTGAAGTTACTTATCAAAGATTAATTCCGCTCTCTTTCTTTTGCTCTTCATTCATGAAATTGGCCTTATCATCCTTTTCATTTTCTAGTTAAACAGAAATATTTAATATAATGATATGTCGGAATGTTAATTTGCAAAAATATAAAATTAAAAATTAATACCTTTCAGCTCTGATTTCATATCGTGCTCTTTTGTCATATTAATATTCATAATGCGCATATCCATTTCGTGAGTCTTTTCCAATCGCAACCGCTTCGTAGGTCCCTTTAATATGAAAAAAAGTCAAAACTCGTAATATCTACAATGTGGCTTCCGCATTAAAAAACGAATAATTATCAGACAGATTAGTATATAGAGATTATTACCTTGTACAATCTGTTATCTCTTCGTCCACCTTCACCTTCATCTTCACTATCGCTGTATTCATTATCACGTTGTATTCTTTTATCTAAATCACGCTGAGGCAGTCTTTCGTCAAGACTCATCTTTTCTTCCATTTCCGTATCTTCAATAATGGCACCATCCTCTGGTATTGCCTGAACTTGTACACCAGGTGCATGAGGCAACATTCTCAGATTTTCAAACAGCCTTGTTCTACGATTATTAAAAAGGCGATTACGAGTTGGTTAATTCGCAATATACACAATAGTAACAAAACTACATGTAAAAGCGTAAGTTGAAACTTACTTAATTTTGTCTAGGTATTCGGTAGTATTTTGATTTGTCATGTTTGAAGGACTAATGTGCAGTTTAAAGTCAGGGCCAAAGTATTCGAAGTAATCGTTGTATGGAAGCTCGTTAGCGATTTCACATCCGAGAGCCACCGATGTCTCATATGTCCAACATCTAGACACATTTCTGATGGTATAACCACCACCTCCCACCATCAGAAAAGGTAAATTGTATTTCTTCACAAATTCTACGCATTTGCCGTGACCCCTCACAGTTAAATTGAAGCATCCCAATCGATCGCCTTCATTGGTTAATAATCGCATTAAAGTTGTGCAATTTTATTGCGAGACAGTAGCTTCTTTTGAAAGACTTTTACCTGTCAGTGAGTCTGCGCCACATTGTAAAACAACAGCGGAGGGTTGAAACGTCTCCATCACTTTAGAGATGATAGGAACGAATATTGATTCATAGCTATCATCATTCATGCCATCTCTTAAAGGTATATTAACTGCATAGTACTTTCCCTATTAGTAATAAGAGGAAAAATCAAACCGTATATATTTAGCGACGCTTTAGTATTCCAGGCAAACAGAGAAATTGTGAACATTATTACGTTTTAATAAATCTGTTTACCTTCCCTGCTCCCATATCACGAAGATCTCCCGTTCCAGGGAAATACTCGCCGTACTTGTGAAACGAGACTGTCATCACTCTATCAGTCGTATAAAAAGCCTCCTCTACACCATCGCCATGATGAATGTCGATGTCGATGTACAAAACTCTCTGATGATATTTTAGCAGTTCCAAGATTCCAAGCACAATGTCGTTTACATAGCAAAACCCAGAGGCTTCGCTCTTCTTTGCGTGATGTAAGCCACCGCCCCAATTGACGCAGATATCGGAGGCTTGCTTGTTGAGCTTTACAGCGGCGGCTACAGATCCACCGGCTGACAATTGACAAAATTCGTACAAGCCATCGAAAACGGGGCAGTCCTCTCCTACATTAACTGTCGCCCATAATAAAAAGGAGTATTAAAATGTTTCGGCACATAATATCAGACGTAACCAATGCTACTCGTACAATAACGTGTACTTACATCGTTGCATCTGCTTGTTGTATTCTGCCATATTGTCTGGCCGTATTGATCGCAGAAATCTGATATAATCGTCGCTATGAAATTTTGTCATTTCTTCTGCTGTAGCTTTATGAGGTCGCTACACAATAACGATTAACATACGTACATTATAACAGCCATATTCCAACTTTTGATAGAAAACTATAAGTAAACGAAAGACAAATATGCAAACGGGAAATAATCATAAGGAAATTCTTACATATATCTCCATTTTTCTGTAAAGACCGTAGTTCAAGAGTAGATTGTGCGTCATCCTTATACGATGTGGCTTCATAGGATGCCCTTGGCCGTAATAATAATTCCCGATATCACCTGGAATTGAAACGACACACAAATGGAAGAAACACATAACTAAATCAGTCAAGGCAGCGTGTAAAGCCTCAAATTTGTCATTATCAACGATTGATGTGTTCCAGTGAAGACTACAGTGTACCGGAATACATTTGAGAATCTCTCGCAACTTTCTACAAAAAAAACCGTACAAATTTTCATTGTGCCGGCTACATCGTCGATTCACGCAGAAAATATCTCTGGGAAACCATAATATACATATCGAGAAAAATAACTGCATTGAGGTTTATTGTAGAGGCACGATAATGCTGGAGATACTTGGGTGTACGACTACCGTATAACCGAGAACGACTGACGCTACGGTCGCGCGATAGCACAGCTGAGAGCCTGTCGGCTTAACGACACAAAAATCGTATTATCGGACGTAACAAGCGTACAAATCTTAGCCTGTCGCACCGAAACAATCGTTCTTCGTAATATACTTTGTATTTATCGTCGATCAAACGAAAAGTGAGCCGATCAGCGGCCGAATGTCGAGCCAGATGAAACAGAGGCGGTGCATGAGTGTAAGTGGTGCAAAAACATCTCGAGTCTCCAAGGTGTATTTCCGTAGTTTTACAATGACTTTCTTGGTACTTACTATCATAGTAGTAGCAGACGTGTTTCTTTAACGGTTGCATGGCCATTCCTACGGGTCCTACTCAGATTAAACTCGGAGTAATCGTTCGGAGCGGAATTACACGAAGATCATGGGTAGTGGCTCATAATGATTACTACATTGGACTGCATGTGCTCGAACTCGCTTCGATTCGCTTGCACCCTAATGGTCGGAAGCAGGAGAAACTCCTCCCTTTAAAAGACACGAGTCACTACCAGCGACATCTGCGTTACAACTAAAATCAGTCACGTGACAACGCGTTAAAGAGCCGCGCTAAATTCAAATGGCGAAATCCACTATTGAATTTTTGAATATCTCGATTCGACGAAGGTATTGAAGGCTATTCCGGAAATCGACTATAACAACTGCTTCGAGAATTGGAAAAAGCGTTGGCATAAGTGCATTGCGTCGGGAGGGTATTACTTTGAAGAGGACGAAATTGATTTGGAAGAATAAATAAAGGTTTTTCAAGTTATAACACGATTCCGGGTTTCATTTGGGCACAGTAGTATGTATGATAGATATACATGTAGTGTGATCTAATCGTATTTTAGATTTAGAAAAGGAAAATTAGAAACTTCTAACGAGATCGTTACAGGTCACCGGTTTTAACAACCTCAAGGAATTCATGTGGAGTGGAGAGGCGGCAAAGAAGCTGGAAGACAGGACAGAGTGTACGTGTACATGCGAAAGGGCTCTGCTGGGAACAGCGAGACAATAATAAGTACAGTCTAGTCTTCTTTTGAAAAGTTGTCATTTTGATACGAAAACGTCCTCGTTTTACATAGGCAAGCCGTTGTACATAGCAAATTGTAATAAACTCTATGTAATACAAACAACATCTCCCGTTCTCTGAACGGAACTCGTTCCCGCGACGAGGCCACTATCCACGAGCCGGAGTTCAGCGGTAATATATAGAACGTTCGGTGATTTATTCGATAAACATACAACAAGATCTCGTATTCCTCTTTTTTTTCTTTTTCTCTTTATCTTAACCGCGTGTCCAAAGGCACACACTTTTTTTACACACACATACACACGCACATACATACACATCTCAGTATAATACAGCGATATACAAAATTAACGTTTCGTAATCTTCCGTAGATGTCGAGCGACGCGTCGCCGTCCTGCGTCGCCGTCGGTTTATAATGTACAAAGCGCGTATGCGAATGTATCGTAGTGTATTTGTGAACATGCACATGTGTGAGTACGCGACCCTGCTCCGACAACTAGAAAAATCTACGTTTCAACGAATTAGCATTTAAACTGTCTAGATCGATCCTAGAAATACCTGGAGCTCCCCCGCCTGGAGCTACCATTCAATTGTCCTATCTATGTGTGATGAAAATATCAAAGTCGATTGAGACACTTTGTTTTACCGATTCTTGGAACGTGTTCTGATGTTTAGCAAAAGAAAATTTGAATTTCGATTGTCAAAAAAGACGAAATTCTTCTTACAATACTGGATGTATGCAAAAAAACATTAAAAAAAGGCTCGACTGTTAACGTTATGTACTTGGTGCTAGAAATGCCTCCAGACAGTTATTTGAGACAGTTATATCCAGATATCTATCATCATTGTATCATTGTTACTTAAATTATTACTTAAATAATACGTCGCAAACGTATGTAACTTTAGGAAGATGCCCAATATACGTTTTATTTCTCATTTTGCCTGCTGAAGGATCCATTGGCTCATCTTCGATTCAAGTGCAGTGTTAAAAAAAAGATGGATAGAGATTAAAAGGAATTGACAGGAATTTGTCCGAAATTAAACATCTAATTTGACAGACTCCTGTCAATCTTTTAAACTCAAAAATCACTCACCGAATCGCACTTGCTTCTCTATTTCATGATCGTAAATGTGTTAGCGGACAATTCTACGCTAAACGCATTTAATTCTGATTATCTAATCTGTCTTGGCGATCGATGATGATGGAGGACAACTTTGTATTTTAGTACACATTTTGATATCGATTGCGTTCGCCGTATTTGATTGATCGCGTAGAAACTGGGTGTACCGGGCAGGATCGGATAGCACATTAAATTCGTCTAGAACAACTCCATTGCATCTGCATTAATGAGATTGCAGTAACGAGAGGTAGAGAGCACACAAGATCTCAGAGCTCATGATTAAGAATGATATACGCTTGGAGAAAATCAACAAATGTAATTAATACCTATAAAAATTATTTTGAAAAAAAGAGAAAAAGAGTTAGTTTACTTTCATTATTTCTCTCTTACCAAATTATCTACTTACTCAGAGTTTCCCCTATTTTCAAATCAAACATAATTATATGATATCTAACTCGCATAGGAAATAACAATTAGCACATTGATTAGAGAAATCAAGAAATAATTAGACGGAAAATCGTTCAAATATGCGCTATGTAGCAATCCTGGTCATCGGACGAGACAACTGGATGTACAAATATCCACATACGTTCCGTCAGGCGAAAGTCCGTTCAATTCGCGGCATGCCGCGAATTTCATTGCTTAGATTGACACAAACTGTTAGCTACGAAATCAGCTCGCCACGAAATTAGCCGAGGAGGAAAGTACTTCTTTCAGCCAGCGCGCACATCAGCAACAATATCAAGAGGAGCAGGTTCGACTTGGTGTTTGCTGCCAAGCCGCACTGATCTTTAATCTCACTCTCGCGAGAATGCATGCGTATACAGGACTGCGGTCGCTTACGCTTAAGGCCGGTAAGCGCTTTCTGGCAGACCAACGTGTTATTCTCGTAGATCACCTCCTCTGGCTTGACGTTCAGTACCGGCGATGTCGTATCATCACCACACATAGCGTTTACTACCACCAGCAGCATGCTGGTATTAGTTACCGGCTGCACCATATACAATCCCTGCTCGCAATTTTCATTTACGTCTTTATCGTATGAATTAAATGAGGCGTTGCGTAGATACAAGTATACCTGGAGATTCAATACGTAAACGTTATAAACGTATCCACAAAAAGGAAATTAGGATAAAAACAGCTATTTAAAAATACTCTAATTGCTAGGAACGCCACCTCAGATGTAATAATGTTAGTAATTCACAAAACAATGTTAAAGGAAATATATCTTTTAAATTCAAATTTACCTCTTGATCACACACTTCCGGATGTGTACGATTGATCAGAACGTTTTGGTCAAAGTTTCTCTCGTCCTTTTGCTCGATCGGCAATTTTTCTTCGCTTTCATGATCATCCTCATGAATGGCCGATTCATCGTCGCTAACATAGTTATACGCTTCAGCATCATCGGATTCCATTATGCCTGTCTTTGCCCAAACCCAAGCAGCTTGACCGATCATCCATGACAATGCTGTCTGGAAATGCTTCCATGGCTGCAACATGACATTTTGCTACTTAATTTTAGAACGAATAAAACTTTGATATATATAATTATAAAATTATGGTGTCTTAATCATTATATTTTTTAACTGAAAAATTAAAAAAACCCATGTGCATTGCCTGATTCTTACATTCTTCGATCAAGTAATTAAAATCCTTTGAAAAATTTCTTAAATAAGATAAATTATAATTATAGTAGATAGCATGCCGAAGGAGCAAAGGAATATGATAAAAGATTTAAAAAATAGAGAAGGAGACACACAAAAGCAATGGGAAGAAGGTAGGATTAGGGAAGCGAAATATAATAAGAGATACAGAGATTTAAGCAATGCGGAGGGGAGGCCGAGATACTTAGAGTTTAGAAATATAGATATGATGGGAAAAGGTAAGGAAATTAGAGCGCTGATAAGATTAAGATGCGGAAACATGGAGGAAGATAACAAATACTGGTTGGAAGAAGGAAATGAACGAAGAATATGTATATTTTGTAAAGAGGGTAAAGATAATATAGAGCACTACATAAAGGATTGTAAAACGACGAAAGACTGGTTTGTAGAGTTAGGTAATAGTATGGAAAAGAAGTTGGAAAGATTATATAACGATGTAATAGATGAAGATAAAGGAAAGATATTATGTAAATTATGGAAGGAAAAAGAAAGGCAAAAAAAGATGAGCTAGTCATTGTAGAAATAAGAAATTAGAAGTAAGAAATAAGAAGGGAAAGAGATTAGGGGTAGAGATTAGAGAGGGTATGAATGAGAGTATGGATGAATGAGTGGTTAAGAAACTTTTGTAAACCAAGTCCCACTTTCTGGCTGTATGCTAAAGGTAATAAAGCATATATATAAATTATAATTATTATAGAGTATATTAATCGGCCTTTTTTTTATTTAACAGAGTTATTACTGGAACTGAAAGTGCTCACGGTAAGAAGAATGTTGCCGGCGTTGTTGGTTTGCGAACTCTTGAAGCACACCGCTTGATAATCAAAGATCCTTATCCTCTCAAAAACACCGTCCTTTACTAAGCTGCTCATTATCGGACCCCTGACATCGCCGAAAAATCTACCGGCGTTCCTTGCGTCATCCCCGGCAGCGATTATGTAGCCGTTATTGTCAATGAGATAACATGCCCAGGCATTACCGCAATGCTTATTACCATCGCAATTACCTTCGCAATTAAATGTTATATTTTGGAGAAGCGCTTGCAAGGCAGTGTGCTGGAACTGGAAGCCGACCACCACGGCTGGCGCTTTCTTTTCTGTAAATTTATTGTCGCAGATTTGATATATGTTGTCTTTTTACCGTACGTACGTACTAAATTATTGTTAAATTGCAAGTTACGTAACCTTAAGACCTTCCGTCTCACTGAAGTCTGATATCGGAAGACCATTAAATTACACGAACATTGGAAATAACTTGCGTTAATTACTTATTTAATATTTCAAATGTAATTTTATAAATTATTCATTCTATGTCATTTTGGACAATATGTTTTTATCTCGGATCATCTATTGAACTATCATGGTTCTTTTTAAGGAAATTTTCGAAAACAGATAAGGCAAATAAATGTAATTAAGGATCTCTTTGATTTTAACATTTTGAAATTGGAACTATTTGAAACAACGTGGTCCTTTCTCTAGTTTGATAGCAACTTGAACATTGGCCGGTATTCATATAGTCGATTCTTATTCAAAATCATCTTAAGTGTTGTCTTAAGAGATTAATACGGCTCTGTGATTGGTTAAAAACACATTAAGAGTTTACTTAAGATGATCTCAAATATAAGAACGGACTATGAATACCGGCCATTGACTTACTGATAAATACAGCACGACTGGCAGTGACTAGAGTGGTATTGTCGGCACCTTCATCTTCGATCGGCACGGAAAAAACGAAACTGTCCGGATCAACGTAGTACTGCTCGACCGCTCGTTTATACCATACTTCGTCGATAGCACGAGGATACAGCTTACTGAAATGATCCTCCGGCAGTGTACCCTCATCTACTGGCAGAATATCTTGCCACCTGGTCAGTCCGCTATGTGTGGCCATAAACGCCAAGACCACTCCGAAACGTTGTTTGAACTGCTGCCTACGAGAGAAGACACTTTAGAAATAGCGATTCGGATCGTCCGCGACTCAAGCTGGCATTTACTTTTATACAGGAGTTGTTATACATTTTAGGATATACATTTGGTATGCAACTATACAAGTTATACAGATCTCCCAAATTTGTACATAGGCTCGCAGCTCCTTTGCGCCATACGCTTGGGATTTTATTTGAAAAACAAGTTTGAGTAACGACAGACACGAAATTATATCGATCTCACAATCACAAATGATTACGTGAAAGACCAAATTAATTATATAATGTTACAAATAAAACATGATTTTATCATTATAATATATACCCATTATTTTATTCTTAGATTAATGAAATAAATAAGATTATGTTATGAAAAATTCGACGGCCAGAGAAAGGATTATTTTTTGTAGAATGGCGCAAACGAACGAATGATACTTTCGAAAGTGCTATTATAAAATAGTCAATCAATTCAGGAAAATCCTCTTGCTTTCGCAGTATCGCTCGCGGAGCATTCCTCCTTTTCAGGCTTTTGTTCCTGAAAGATGACAATTGCCCTACAACTTGTAAGCTAATTTGCCGACCATGTTAACAAATGTCGAAAGATGGAAAAAAAGAACAAGAAAGAAACAGAAAGTAAGAACAAGATTATATAGCGCGATATAAAAAGAAATAATGAACAAATACTTTACTTATACAAAAAAACATAGCCAACCAACTTAAGAAAAGAATAAAAGTATGATTTTTCTGTGAAATTTGTTACAAAATCTTTTTGCTTTAATACAATTAGAAAAAGAAGATAATAAACGCAGTTCTATAATGAGAAGTGAAAAATAGAGCAAAGTGAGAGGAACGCCTGAACGGATTCTGTAAAAGAGAAAAAGAAAGAGAGGGAGCAAAATAGGGCTAAGAAGAGAAGAGCAAGATAGGAAGAGTTGTCACTCGCATTATAATGTACGACACGAATGGTTGAGAGTTAATTCATTACTTTCTAAGAATGTAAGGTGCGTTGTGATGGCGTTACCTGGTCATCTGATTCATCAGCCTAGCTAAAGGTCTGCATGGCGTCAAAGTGGTAAGTACATTAGTCAAAAAGAACAGGTGAATCTCTCTATCCTCATAGAAACAAGAAAAACGAGACAGAGAAATAGAAAGAAAGAATTGTGCATAAAATAGAGAAATAAAGAGTAGAACACAGGACGGAGTTTTGTGTGTAAAAATGAGCACGTGTAAGTTTTAATTCTGATAAGGAAACAATGGTAGAGAAAGAGCGATGTCTCCGTCCTAAAGTGCGTCAAGTAGCGATTAATCGTTTCATCTCTATTTATCTCACATTTATATTTCATTTGTTATCTTTAGAAAAATATTTTGTTGTATCTACTTGTGATGGATTATCAATAATTAAGCCACTGTTTAGTATTGAACGTCCACAATGACTTCGAAGTGTGATTCTGTCAATTTTTTATTATAGTTCTGATCGATAGCTTGTTTTAGAAACTAATCATCATGCAACAATAAAAATAATGTTAATTTTAATGCAAGCATAATATTATCGTTAATTACAGATTTATATCTATATGAGAGCGATGTAAAATATTGTAAAACGTGAGTAATTATGTTAAAAAATTCGATCGATTATTCGCGCGCTAATTTATGCGAATAATAGGGAAAATGCAACTTCGTTTATCGTTTCTTCAAGTAGTCTAATCATGCTGTGTAAAGCACTCTTACGTTGGCGAATAAATCGAAATTAAACTTACTCTGTTGGATCCTTGGTGCTGGGATTCGGTGGGATTTGCTGGGCGAACCACTCAGTTGCCTTAGCATCGTATACCAGACTGAGCAGCAGATTCCTGTCGCAGTAGTACGAGTTCTTGTCGGCCTTGTAGGGATTAGCTATCGAACGAAACGAAATTCATTTTAAAACGTAACAACGAATACAACAGAGGCCGCATAGATAACTCAAGATCGTGACTTACGATGAGAACTATGGCTGGAACTCGCAGCGGAGTATTCCGGCGGTTGGGATCGTTGCTTCAAGTCGATCCACTTCCAGCCTGGTAGGCGGGTACGCTCCAGAAAATGCAGGAGCTGCAACTCCGAGGTATTGAACCTGTGTTCACCCTCGTAGTGATACCTAACATTTACAATAGGAAGCTCGTATAAATAGATGTGTAGAATCGTCGCATCCCATTACAGTTTATGAGATTACTTTTTAGCTATGTGTACATTTCATTTCAATGCCGCTACAAGAGGTAAAAGCACTTGCGTGAACTAGAATTATTATTATAGGGCTTATTCGAGACTTACTTGCAATACATCCAATGGGGGTGCACCCGCCAGTTACTACCCGCAAAGTAATCTGTCACGTTTTTCCCTATGATAGTTCAATTCGTTCAAATTTGACATGGGCGATTGAGGTCAGCGACGAAAGCCTCGATAAGTCAGAAGCAAACAGATAATAGTTTATTTTAACGTCCGAAGCAGAAATTGAAATTGTTATCGTTTCAATAAGTTTAAAATTTCAATGCGGCAGAAAAATAATTTCCAATCGCGCTTTGTCATCACGAATATTGTCTGTAGCCACAAAAAATTAGATTAACAATTAGAAACGATGGATTACAGTTCTCACTTTTCAAAGACCGTTATGTTTACCATCCAGTTATTATAATAAGATATAAATAAAAACTTGTTTATAGAACTTTATAACAAGAAATTTAATGTTAACTAAATTTCAAAGATGTGACAAAGAACGCAGTGACCTTTCATCGAATTTAACATCATTAACATAGGAATATTTACGGGATGTAACTTTCTCCGGTTGAAGTAAACTTTCCTATCGAGAACTTTAGGTTTATGTAAAGTGTCTAGAAACGTTGTGAATTTCACGATTGATGCGACACAAAACCTATTCGCGAACATCTCCTCGACTCCAAACTGTGTACCGAGTAGAACTTTAGCAAAACTTTGCGGCTTGCCAGATCGATGTATGTCTATAACTTACATAAAGCGGGATTACATTGAAAGAGAAAACGTATTGCATGTATGAACTTTCGGCACGGTTTCCGTAGTCGTATTATTAAATCGTCAAACTCAGCTATCTATGTGTTCGATTTAACCGACCATGTCATCTTCTATCCATTTGAGTCGCGTTCTTAAAAATTTTACATTCAATTTGTTTACATTTTTAATAGATCGATTAATTTCTCAAAGTACTTTTAAATAGAAAGTATAGAACAGTAAATTCAAATAACAATGCTCAACGTTCTGCGTGAAATAATTTCGGACAACTGTTAGCATTTTAAAAATCGGAAATAATGTCATTAAAAAAATCCATGTGTAATTGTAAATAATCTAATAATATTACATTATTAGAAGCTTTCGTCGCTGCAAGATGGTTTGCTAGAATTAAAATGCGTACCTTTAGCGTGAGATCGATGTATCTCCTCGATAGCGTGCACGCGGTAATTTCCAGAATGATCGTGATCGGGCAAACTGACCACGACTGTGAATGGAGTGTCCCATATTCCAATGTAATCGTATTTTCTCTTCACTCTGCCGACACGTCTCTAAAGCCACAAACAATATTGCAAACATATCAATTGAAGCAAATTAATAGCCCAATTAAAACTGTATTAAAGAACTTGATTTGTTTGGGATTGCGAAAGATACGTAAATATATAGGGGTGTGGATTTGGGTCGAAGCCCTCCTTAAAATAAACAATTCAAATAATAAAACAATAAAGTAACATCAAATCTTGAAAATATAAAAAGTATCGTTTATTATTTTCTTTAATATTGTTTTTCCTGCAAGATAATGCGAATACTTTTAATTACAACTACAAAAATGAGGTCCTCGTAAATTTACGGATATTTATCGCTAAATATTGTGACGATGTACTTACCATATCATCGTAATGATACTTTGTGTAAAACGTCACGCTACCATTCGTCTGATTCACCACATCGTTGCGAAACTGCGGAAAAACGCAACAGACTGGTGTGTAATTGCTTGTCAAATGCACGTATAACTTTGACTGACAATAAAAGTTGGTCAAACTACGAGAACGTGTCATTGACATTCTACGATTTTCATTGCGAAAACGACACTGTGTTATTTGCTCTACAAATCCGTCAAAGTGTATGAAAAACATTTTACTAATCTTTTTACTTATTTACCAGGATGAGTCCTTCGTCGAATTCTCTGGGACCCCTGTCGTGATCCACTAGCTCAACCTCCGCCATATCGACGCTATTATATGCCGGTTTTAAGATACCCTGAAACTATTTTTACAACATACATATTATTTTTACTATTTATATTTATCTCTATCTCGCTACGCCGAAAATTCAGTGCTGATAGTAAAACTCTCACACTTTCATGTGACATAAACGTCAACTCGAGGTACAAGCATGCGCGCGCGAAAGGAGTTAAATATGATAATATAATTTAAAGAGCATTACCACTGGTCGAAGATCTGGATGAATCAGAATGAAACCATTGTTGGTCACGATAAAGGCATAACCGTTGACACCGAGCTGCTCCCACGGAGAGAAAAAGAAAGAGAAGATTGTATTATCATGATTTGCATTTGCTATGCCGTCAATTGGTGGCACTGTCGGCATCATAAAAGCTATAATGAATATTAATAGCAGTTTCGTGTCACTCTTCTTAATAGAGTCATCGTATTCGATGTCCAAAGAAATATTTAATCTCAATATTTAATCATTTACACAAATATCTTATGGTTTTATCGTGTTATATAATATTTATGATAGATTATATTTATCTCTGAAATTTTTCAACTTTCTAATCTATGTATATCACTAAGGTCCACCAATCAAGCAACAAAAATGGAAAGAAAATAAAAATGAAAATAATTTTAATTAATTCTTGTTTTAATTTCTATGTAGATTATTCGATTTTGGATGTTAAACATTCTAGATACTTGGCTACAATTGTTTAATTATTGTTATTCATAGTTAATTGCTGATGATAAAATGTAATTTGTTGCTTTTGCAAAATATCAGAGATATATAAGTGATAATATTGCTCACCATGTGTGGAATCATCAATTTCTGGATTTCTTCGATCGGTACGTCCGTGCCAGCAACACCAAGGAGATTGGCAATCATCGTCTGCGCAGACAATTATCGATACTTTAATTAGGGACCCTGTATGATGTCGCATTGCGTGACGCCTCTATCATATCATGACAACGTTATTATATTCGAAATAAATTACGAATTATTATCATCTCAAGTCGCATAACCAGAAGCGTATCTACCTTCTCCAACAACGTTCTATCACAATGAGTTCGTCTACATAAACACGTTTTGGTATATCAAAAAGTCATATGTGTGAGAAATGATCACCCCTCGCGTGTATGCAATGATGAGCAATGGTCCTGAGATAATTTTCATCGGCAAGAATATGTCACGATACCATACATTATTTTCAGGAAACAAAAATATTAAATAACAACATTTGTTCAAATTATTAGTACAATAATTAATAGTCTATTATTGCAAATTCTACATTGGACACAATTACTGCAAAGCCTTGCTGAATAAAATGATGTTTAATGAATTGGAATGATATCTGCTGTGTTGCAGAGAATGAGAAATAGATTGGAAAATATATCCAGATTGCAAAATTGTCATGTAAATATTAAAATGGTACTTGCAAAAATATAGCGCGCGCGAGAGGGACGAGCAAAGAGTGTGGATTTCTTGCGATTCGACGCAATAACTAGTTCAACTACTTTCAATGTGTATGTGTGGCATGTGCGTGTGTGCGTGTATGTAATAATAATAACGATACACAATGAAAACTCTATAATAATTAAACAACAAATTCTCTCTATAATTAATTAACAACATCGGACGCAGGCTACCCTAAGTTAGTTCAAGTAACAATTAGCTTCATTTTTTCGAAGTGACGACCTTTCTTTTTTTTCTCTTTTCCATTTGATAAAAGATAGCTTAACAGGATATTTTATTTTTATGTATTTTATGTAGCAATGTTGCAGAAATAATACCTGAGTAGCAAATAATAGGCAAAATTTGTTTCGTTCTGTTAAAGTATTACAGAAATGTGATATGCATGTGTACGAGATTAATTAAGAGTATCTTGAGAGGTCGTCGCTTGAATTAGATCTACGATTGTCTCTGACTAATGAAATCTAGCACTCAATAAACTGCCAAAATTCATATTATTCGTGTACGTGCGTGCCTGCTGTTACTCGTAATAAAAGAAGCAAGTGCCTGGGAAAAGTAATTATTGCTATGTAAAGTGAATCATTATTCACACAATATCTTTAAATCTGATTTGCTTCAAAATTTAAATTTTATTAACAAGACTTGTTGTTTGGATCTTTGGAAATCCATTCGCTTGCTCCTTCAGTTAATGCTTTTCTCTTTCATCGTATAAGTATATAGTAGTCACTGCAGAACGATCTCTACAACTCAATCTTTACGAGGATATTATTTTTCGTCGTACGCAATCCAACAGGCGGGCAAAACTTTGCCTTTTTTTCTACTCGTCTCGACAGGACACAGGGTAGACTAACGTACCTAAACCTACCTAGTGACTTGAAATAATTCCAGTAACTAACGTTAGAGATCAACACAAGATACCAGAGAGTCGAATGTGGACCTAAAAGAGATCTATGCACGTCTACGACCTTGTTCCAGCATCATTTACATCGCGATTATGTTTTAAGCACCTGTTAAAAATGGCAATAGATGAAATGTTCCTTTCTCAATAGAGACCCAAAAATTTAGAATAATTACAATGCCATTTTTTTATAGCAAATATTTTGTACAGTTTGATGAGTAATAAATTAAGATCCGTTAAATGGCAATTAAGGCTGATAGCGAAGATGAGGTCATAGGTCGTCGATCGCACGAAAACGAAAGATAAAGATACAGGATGTACTATATGCATCATAGAACAATGTTGCTTGAGTTTTTTGTTTTAGCTGCCAACCTCTCTTGTTTCTGTCACCCAGTATGCTTCGTTCACCAGCACCTGCCTTGTGATGTTCTGTGGACAAAGAGGAACTTAAAACCGAAGCAAGTGTAGCGCGAATATATACCTCGGGAAGAAAACGTGATTCGCGAATTTTGTGACTTTTATTTCGTTTATCATTTTTTTTGTGTATTAATGAAGAACATTTAATGATTCCATATATCACAGAATTTGTAAAAATGTTGCGAAGAACGTGAAAGCGTATGAAAGCGCAGACAACAGAAAGAAAAAAAGTGAGTGATATTTGACAATGATTGCTGAAGTGAGAGAGAGGGAGAGAGAGAGAGAGAGAGCTGTCTCAACGGAGATCTTAATTAACCTTTAGGTTGTCCTTTATCGACAACGTAGGAGACGTACGACTGTCGCCCTTCTGTCGGCCGACTTCGGATGTTGTTTGCAAAATAACGAGAAAATAGAAATCTTACCGCGTTCTCACGTCGATCAAACACTGGCATGCTGACCGAGGTCATTAGTTTGTATTCCTGCAGCCCGCTGGTCTGGTCGTGGCGCCGCTTCTGCTTCTTCACGAATCGCCGATCCTGTTCCTCCATGTTGAAATACTTCTTGTTCCTGTGGTAGAGCAAAAAACGCTCCTTCTGCTCCTCACTTTCGCGCTGCTCCCACAACCAATCGGTCATTTTCGGATCCGTCACGTCGGCGTAGACAGGCGTCCAGATGGTTGGATGATCTGTGCGGCCCAACACCAAAGGCCTCGCCATTACCGGCACATACTTTAATACCTAGCAAATTTGGAAAGCTCAATGAATAATGGGATCCCAGTCGTTATGATGTGAAGAGATACTATCCATTCAAATATCTTAAAAAGATTTCTCGCCCGAGAAAATTTCTACAATTTATAAATTTGCCATCTACGACTTTCTATATTAAAGCTGCAATAGCGCTTTTTGCCGATTGTTTGTATCAAATATAATTTTATAGACTGAGGTCTTTATTTATCGAATCTGAAAGCAATCTCGATTCACTGACTTCTTCTCTGACTTCCGCCGGGGTGCATAAATGTACATAAAATCCTCTATTGGCGCAAGCCATCCACTGCACTTCCCGGACATCTGCAACCTCCCGACCGATCAGATAGGTGAATACTCTAACGGGCATATCGGCCTTCAACGGATAAGTTGGATTATCTTTCCAGTTATACGCCTCAAAGATCTCCTTATAGTTGTATGGTACGCCGTCGGTGATCAACATGATTGCCTGATTGCATTGAGCACCTTCCCCCCGCTGAGTCCGAAATGCTTCGAGCAACTCAAAAGCGGTCGTCAAGGCCAGAGAGAAATTGGCGATCATCTCTGTATTTAGATCCGAAATGGCTCGCTTCAACTCGCGTATGTTCGCCAGATTCGCTTGGACCAGGGTGTCATTGAAGCACGACACTACCTGTAGATGTGTCGCTGTCATTTAATAATTCTACTAATTTAATATTTTTCGTTTATTGCTTTGGATTAACATATTCAATTCTTTCTATTGATTTTTTTTACCTCTCTAGTCACGTTGGAGAATGTGATGATGTTGACAAAATCATTGTTACCGAGAGTGTCAAGAATATTGTTTATCACATGCTTGGCGATCTCCCGCCGTATGCCAGTCATGCTACCGGACGTGTCCATCAGGATGAGAATATCTTTCGGACTGGTAGCCGCTTCGATGTACCAACTTCTCGTTCTGCAATCGAATAGATCCACCGGGTCCATGTACCAACTCATAGCAGGATATTGGCGCATGAAACCGGTCGCGCTGCCGAAGTACTGCCAGGACAACGACGGGTCCTGTTCATAATTGTTGATAAAAGTACGATCGAGCGCCTCAGACCACTTAATCGCCCGGATGACACTCGAAGCGCGATCGTACACGTTCGTGGGCACATGCACCGCCGACATATTGAGATTCACGTTACCGCCGAAGTGAGGACTGTACTCGAGATCAATCGTGTTGTTCTTCGCATCGATGAACTCGAAGTTTTCCGGCGGGTCCATGTCGGGGGACGATAACGCCGACGTTTCAGCCACGTCCATTATCCTCTGAAGGCAAAAACAAGGTCTAATATTAAACAATATATGAGAACATGCCTAATGCGGGTCACAAGGCAAGATGTAGGTAGCCCAACTTGCAGATCTTAAAAACTTTCTGAAAATCGCGAATCTATATACCGTTTATTTCCACATTAGTTCTACGCGCCGCATTCTTTTTTCGGACATAACGCAGCTTGGCTTACATGTGGAATTATTATCGTCAGCAGATTCACGTATTCGATTTGATAATAATTATTTTTCAAATGCAATTCGCATTTTTTCTGATGCTACATTTAGCACTCAGTATTCCCCCCTCCCCCCATTTTCCCCCGTCCTGTAAATTAATTTTCTTGCGAAAAATATTATCCCAGCCAGGATTCGAACCTGGGACCTCCCTCAATCCGTGACGGGCGTCTTAGCCAGCTCGACCCCACTGGGGCTGTGATAATATTATTCGCAATAACTGGTATATTACTTTGGAAGGGACGCTAGTTTGCAGGCGAGCGTTTAAAGAATAATAAACTTTCAAGTACGACCCTCTATCTAAAGCCAAACAATATATGGAGAACATGGCCTAATGCGGGTCACAAGGCAAGATGTAGGTAGCCCAACTTGCAGATCTTAAAAACTTTCTGAAAATCGTGAATCTATATACCGTTTATTTCCACATTAATTCTGCGCACCGAATTCTTTTTTCGGACATAACGCAGTTTGTCTTACATGTGGAATTATTATCGTCAGCAGATTCACGTGTTCGATTTGATAATAATTATTTTTCAAATGCAATTCGCATTTTTTTCTGATGCTACATTTAGCTGATATGTTTAAAAGTCTAATATGTTTAAATGATTATAACTTGCAATTAAAAAGCTCAAATGAAGCAATGTGTTCGACAATGAAAGACCGTCTGTTATCAGTTGTTATAAGCTTAAGGACTTGAGGGTAAGTGAAATAAAAGTATCGTACCTTGATAGCCGAGATCTTGGACTCCATCATAGCCTTGATGTCTTTCGCGATCTCCTGGACAAGAGCATTTCCGTCTCGTGGCGCGACATCCGCCGACTTGTAGCTGTCCTCGAATTTGTCCACGTTCGTCACCAATTTGCCCAACTGCGAGAGTTCGAAGCCTAGCTTGTCCGCCCATCCTTTCACTCTGTCAATTAAGAGAGTAAAATAATTATAAAACAATGATAAGAATTTTTATAAAAAAGTCTGAATAAAAATACTCATTTTATTATTGTTTCGCTGTAAGAGATGCACCGTTTCTTATTGTTCCGTCTTGTAGTTTCTTTTCATATTGCCAAGTTAACTTAATGATGGAATAATAATTAATTTAGAATACTTTAATAAATAAAAATAATTTGTTTATAAGAAAATAACATGCGAATGGTAATCTTATTCATAAAAGAAATCCAGTTCTCAAAGTGAAGTGACGAATATAAACCATGACTCTTGTTCACATATGTACGAAAGAAGTTATTCTTTTTCTTAAAAAAAAAAACATACTGAGTGGATATATAAATCTGGAAGTATATAATAATTTAGTTCATATTCAGCTATCAATAATAACGTGCCTGTGACAATGTGCGCGGAACAAATGTTTAGTGACAAGCAATTTTCGCAAAATTTTCTTTTATTTCCGAAAGTTTTTTGCGGAGCATGCCGTCATCGCAACGATTCCATCAAGAGACACAGTCCTTCACGGTTGACCTAAATATCACTTATCGCCTCATTATCGCGTGCGACGGGATTGATCAAGTGCTCGTGTTGTTGCCAGAGGATTCGAAAAATGAAAAAAAAAAGAGAGTCGCAAGAAATGAAGAAAACAAGGACAGGCAGATGATTGCCAGACCACGAGGTGCTTACATATTGTGGGAGATACTGTCGCTACGGTCGAGTGCCTCAATCAGGAGCAGGACGACGACGACAGGTATGAAACAGGGCCTCATAACTTTCCCTGACCACCTGCTGGCCACCTCGGTCCGCTCCTTGGGGGGTTGTTCGTGCACAAGAACACGGTAAACAAAATTGAGGTTCGCGTTTCACATTAAGAATGCCTGCGGTCGTTCTGCTCGACGTCGATCGTCGCCGTTGTCGTATGCGCACTCACCAACTTGGTGGCGACTCACGCGGGGCCTACGGCAGCTCTCACTCGGTGTCTATAAGCGCTTTCCAGGCTTATCGATTTTCTGGCCAGGCTTGCGCACGTAAAGTACGGGCGAACGACGCGCGGCCACGCCAACTGTCAAGGATCAGAATTGATAAAATTGTTTATGTTTTCATGTACGTTTGATTATCGGGCAAGTGGAACGTTTGCCGAGGCGCTGATTAAGAAATAAGACTTACTACTACTAAATTCGTCGCTGTCCTGTACGACATGGTAATTAATTAAAATCGTTCATCGAAGGCTTGCTTGGTACTTGGTCTTCGACAGGTACTACATCGTATATATATTTATGTATATATATATCATACTTTTTGTAAGTGTCATTGATGATGTCACAACGTATGGTATCGAGAATTATCCTCCATATTTCCAACGTTGGATATAATACAAGTCACAATGGATTGCTTTCTTGAATAAAAGATCTGTGAAAAGAGTAGGAGAAAATTCAGCTTTAAATCATTACATATCATCTCTTTATTTAATTGTTGCGAATTAGGAGACACGCTGCTAATTTTCGCCAAGATATATTTAAAATCAAAATAGATATACTTATCTGTTAAAAAAAAACTAATATATTCTACATTAAAAATTATTTATATATTTATTTTTTACTAATGTATAAAATTATGATTTGGGGAGAAAACTTACGTTTTATCATTTTATTGAACTTTTATTATGTTATTATAAGACAATACAGTTACCATGTACCAAGGACAACTAAATTGTTGTCATACAAAGACATATAAAATCCTAGCAACAGTGATACACAACAGCAAAGAGGACACCATCGATGCAGATGCACCGCAACCATAAGTCTCGTATTCCAGAGGATGTTCCGTAAAGCAATTCTTCAACCTGCGTCTCTTCAAGGCGTTCAATGGAATCTTGTGACAAGGTTTATCGCCCGTGCTATTTGTGTACTCAAGGGGTGAGATGTTGACGGGTGTTACTTCCAATCTTTTGTAGCACGTTGGGTACATGCTGTTCACCACGACCAGCAATAGATTAGTGTGTGCCACCTATAAATTATTATAGGTGATTATTTTTTCTGGAAACTACCTGATTATACACATCTTTTCGTGAAATCCCCATCAATTCATTCAACGGCATGAATATGTTAAGAAATGTAACTATAAATTAAAAAGTAAAAAACATAAAATAGGAAGCATTAATATTATGAATAGCTCAAGAAATCTGATAAATCTGTTCTAGTTTCATTTCAAGTGTTAAAAACATTTGACGATAATAAAGATTCATTATATCTGACAAACACAGCTATCTTGCTAATCTATTAAACTGACTTTCAATGCATTGTTGCAAAACAAATAATTAACAATAAATTATAATACCATTAAAGGCTCAATGACGTATACAAAAAAATCGTTTTTAATTATTCATAGATGACGTAAAATGCACATTTATTTTATGAACTTTGAAACAATTTCTCTGTACTGTTTTTAACATTAAAAATGTTGAAAAAAGTATGATATTTGTGTATGGTTGTCGCAGTTCCATACGTACTAACAATAAGTCTCTACATTCATTTAACACTATTTAGAAGCGTTTATCGAAGTCGAAAATATAATATAATATTAGTAATAATATAATAGATGAACGTATGTTAGTTTTGTATGATTATTTGACAAAAAAATAATAATAATTTGGCAAAATAACATTTATTCTACATAAAAACCATAAAATTATATCGATCTCAAGTAAAATAGAAAATATTTACTCTCTGAGCGTAAAAGGGACGTGAACAGTAGTCGGAGTGATTGGTGACGCCTTTTGCAGCAACGGTCTCGTTCAACGTATAGAGTGTTCGCTTTTGATCGCAGGGATAGTGATAGAGATAGCGTGTCGGTTCTGGTGGCGGATCTGGTAAATCCTCATCAAAGTGGACTTTGCCGTGAATGGCGGGCAAGTTTACAAACTGGGTCGCAAACCACATCAACCGCAGCAGAAACCAGAGCAACAACCTTGCAACATGTTGCAGCGGCTCCATCAAGCTACTGGCGGAGTTTCCGATTCGCTAGAACAATATTCGCGTCCCAATAAAAGCATTCTTTCTTTTGTAAAATAAAAAAAGAGACTCTGGAAAAGTTTGTTCTTCACAACTATTTGTAATTCTTCCAAGTGTAAAAAGTTCTCTTTTATAATTTTTATAATTATCAATTCAACTATGAGGTACCTAAATATGACTTTTTAACGCACACAGTATTCTTATCAATCATCGATTTACTTTTTGGCATATATTACTTACGACCTCTTGACACCATGCTTGATAGTCATAGATCTCGACTGGATCATAAACGCCCTGGTTGACCATAGATAGCATGACGGCGCCTTCCTGCGTACCCATAAATTGCCCAGTGTCGTTATGTGCATCCGAGATTACTACGTAGCCGTTCTGGTCTAGCAGGTAGCAGTCGATCCAATTGTGGGCACAATTCATCAGTGGATTCGTCGTCACTGAAGTCAACGCGATGAATCGCTTGTATAGATCTCTCATCGGTATTTGAAAACCCACTACGGCTGCCGGCGCTTTCTTGCCGCCATCCTTGGGTGACAGGCTCAGTGAAGCTGTCACTATCGCGTCCGCGCCTGCTTCCGATGGAACTGTATGATACGAGAGATATTTTATTTCGTATTACACTAGACATCTCATTGTCAGATATAATCATAAATCTTGTCATAAATCATTATATGAATGTTCATTTTTTATCGGAGAATTTTATAATTAAAAATTATAAAATGTTCTGTGTCCACAGTAAATACGATTCTTACCGGATAAAAAAATACTGTCGGAATCTAATTCATTCTGAAAGATCGCGCCTTTGTACCAAGGCTCATCCACTGCTCGTCTATAAAGATCGCCAAAAACAATACTGTTTTCCGCATTCGGTAGCTCACTAGCCCTCAAATAATGCCATCTGGTAAGACCACTTTGCGTCGCGATAAACCTAATAAAGATACCATAGAGATGTGCCAGATCCCGAGCTCTTGGAGGTAAATCCTCCATATAGTCACCGTGAAAGCTGTTGTTCGTTGCCTTGGCATCGAACACGAGCAACTGCAGCAACTCCTTGTTGCAGTAGTAATCGTCGTGCTTGAGTGTCTGCCTACCACAATTGGGCTCTTCGTCGACATTTTCGTCTATGGGCGGATAAGCCTCGTATTGTTCGGACCAGCGCCAACCGGGCCGGCTCATCAGCGCCAAAAAGTGACGCAATTCATCTTCTGAACTGTCAAACTCGTGACCTTCTAGATAATGGTAACGACAATACACCCAGTTCGAATGTACGCGCCAATGATCGCCCATAAAGTAATCTGACACGTTCATGTTCATGTTCTGGTGCTTGCGGATCTCGTCGCCAACCTTGAAGAATTCGGTTATTTCAATAGATATTTAATTTACACCGCACAATCATATGTATAATTATTTACTTAATGCATTCCGTAATTATTTATTAATTAGTATAATTATGTGCATGGAATTATTTTAAAGGCGGTCACTTAAGAATAGTGAAATTGCTGTTTTGGCGCTGCTTCTACCTTGATCCATGTACTTCCATAGTTAGGTATAACGACTGCGAGGCTAAATGGAGTGCCAGGTAGAGGCGCATAAAAATAATCACGTTTCTCGAGGTGGACACGACGATTGTCATCATAATGTAATTTCACAGGAATCTCTGTCATGTTACCCCGCTTGTGATCCACTAACGCTGATCTCAACTCCAATATCTCAGGTCCAGGATTCCTGCGCCCATTTTTAATTAGTAAACTTTAATTGTTAAACATTTCAAATAAAAGATGATAACAGAAGCAATGTAATGATTAAGCGAAAAAATATAAGATGTTTCTTAGTACTTAATACCATGTTTCATATTTGCTCAGGATCTATGGAAGAAACTGTAATAAATGATGAAAATGTCATTACGCTACCTTGGTTCGCGTCCATCGTCAAGTATTTCCACCTCCGTGAGGTCGATGCTGTTATAGTTCAATTTAAGCCGGCCTTTGTGGACCGGCCGGAGATCTGGATGCAGTATAACGTAGCCGTTGTTAGACACAATGAAGGCGTAGCCGTTCACGCCGAGTTTGTATGGCAACGTAAGTTTGCGAATGTCGCCGAGCGGCACGTCCGTTCCGGCCACGCCGAGCAGTGTATCATTCGCCGCATCTGTCACGTTGTCGCGATTGTTCATGCGATCGAACACAGGCGTGCCCACGGAGGTCAACAGTCTATATTCTTGCCGGGCGGTGGTGTTCAGGGTGGATGGGTCCTCCTCAATGTTCTCGTCCTTGTGCAGCTACGCAGAGCAATCGCAAAAATGAAGAACAGTTTCGATGACAAGATATCACATCATTCCCTCTAGAAATTTTCATTAAGAGGAGCGAACACGTCGCCAGGGTGGAACAAAAGCGGAGAGCCACACTATCTAATCCACTCTCGGTTACTCCAATGCCGAGGTAGAGCATTGGAGCGTGTCCCGGCACCAAGGGTGCAATCAAAGTCTCACAAGAATTGACTATACAAACACATTTCTCATCGCAAGTAACATTCTTGAATCAGAATCTGATTTAAGAAGTCTCATAGTACAGAGTGGTATTTTTAAAGAGCTGAGGTCTTTGATTGTCCGCTTAATCCCGAACATCTTGTACAGCATCTAACACTGATCTAATAATGGGAAATAAATCAAAATAAATTTGATGAAGCCCAATCAACAGGGTACTAAACCCAGTTCAAGATACTAAGTTCTCAGCCTGTAAATAATAATCAATCAACCGGAGACCACTCGGTGCATCGATTAGCCATATCCCAATACCTAGCGATTAATTATTTGCAGGTGTTTGTCCAGTTCTCCAAGTTGACACTTGAGCGATCTAAGGCTAATTCCTCCGGATATCAAGCAATTGACTTTAAGCTCAAGCAAGGTGTGCTCAACTAAATCATATTCTAATTACGCACAATTAATATTTATTATGAAATTAGTAATATTTTAAAAAGTCGATCAAAAGGCTAGGTTTTGTTACCTCACCTGATTTTACGCGAATAATACCAAACAGAGCAAAATTGGAAATTATTCATTAATTTAAAACAAAGTTTTAATATCTGTAAAGTTTGTAAAAAATTTTTTTAACAAAATTACATCGCGTGATCCTAGTACTTCCGTTTGGTATTCGAGAGATTAAGTACAGGAGCTTGTGCCAAGGGAGATATAGCGCGATACAGATCTACACGGAGCACTTTGAAAGCCTAGGGACAGGCAGCAGGGGTGCTTTCGTGATTGTATCTAAACCTGCTGTATGTAGATTGCGTCCTCGTTTATTCGCACGCCCAGCTGTTTTCCCTTCAGAAACCTTTGTAGTCGCGATTTTTGTTCTTCATGCTTCATCACCAGCCATAGCCAAGCGGCAAGTGCCGGATTCTGATGGGATTTACGTACATTTATCTTATTCTTTTATACATGCCCTCGCTTTTACAACACATTTAGATATCGTAGGAAAAAAAACATAAAGGCAAAATTACCCGCAATAGTAAATAAACTGCAATTAAAAAAATTTTTTTAACTAGTATAACAAATATTAACGTTCACAACAACATAAAAATTACTTTTTGAAAAACTTTAGGCTTTTCTTACTACAAATGTCGTATAATAACATTAATAACATCTTCGCTTTTCAGACAAATTTTCTTTAAACTCAACTAATTGCAAGAGATGCAATTGTACAGTTGAATATTTTTTAATTGTATAAGAACTATATCGTATTTAAAATGATAATTCCTACCGTAATGTCGGCATAAGCATGGGTCCACACGATAGGATGTACCAGACTCTGAAGCACCAAGGGTCGTGCCACAACCGGAATGTACTTGAGCACCTGTTCGCGCACTTCCTCTTGCGTTTGCACATGCTTGTAGTCGCCGTGATTCAGACACGATCTTACCATCCATTGAAGTTCATCCATCTTTGTCACTTCTTTCCCTATAAGATACGTAAACACCCGCACTGGTACATAAGTACCATTTTCTTGCCAGTTCCATTTTTTGAACACCTAAAATGGAAGAAACGAAACTATCACAATGAGTGATGTTTATTTAAAAAATGTCTTATTGTTATTATTCATTTAGTGTCATTTCTTGTTTATTAGTTTCATACTAATTTACGCTGCTAACAGAATCTCCAATAGTTTCATCGCCACGCGAAATTTCAATATACATATAAAATAACAAAAAGTTATTCAATGAAGTGATGCCTATATTACAACCTCCTTCAGTTCATTTCCCAGCCTCCCTTCGGGAACACCGTCAGTAATGAGCATAATGAGCTGATTACACTGTGAGTCGGCGTCGCAACCGCGTATGTCTCGGTAGGTTTTAAGTAGACTGAACGCCTTGTTAAAGGCCCTGGGAAAGTCGGCAACCTCATCCCCTTTACCGATATTATCCATAGATTTCTTGAACGTATCAATATTCTCTGGAGTGGCTTGAATCAGCATATCCTTAAAACACGGCACCAAATCGGTCGTCTCGTTGTTATATTTTAGCAGTGTAACGAAGTCGTTATTCGACAAGGTGTCCAGAATCGAGCTCACCGTTGTCTTTGCTGCCATAACATTACCGTTTCGTTAAGATAAAGTCATTAAAACTCTTCACATTACAATAAAATGTTATAATTTTCATTATAAAATTAACAATCGTGATAAGTCAATTAAAATATGAATTTATTAAGCTAAAAGTTGTATATCTTTGTTTCATCTTGTTCTCTAAATGTTAAAAATTTTCTATACAGACAAAACCTGATTGTAGAAGTTTTAGATATAGACTTTTAATTCCATTTTCCTAATGATTTTCCATACCGATAGTTTTTCCCATGCCGGTCATACTGCCACTGATATCCATTAGGATCACCATGTCTTTGCTACATGTGGCTGCCTCAATGAACCAACTACGTACTCTGCAGTCATACAAATCAGCAGGAGTATCATCGTCATCGTCATAATCATCATCATCCTCATTATTATCCTCATCATTATCATCATCATTATCGTCGTCGTTATTGTCATTTTTGTTATTATCATTTTTGCTATCACTATTATCTTTGGTATTGTCGTCACCGTCAGCATCATCATCATTATCGTCGTCGTCGTCGTCGTCGTCGTCGTCGTCTTCGGCGCTCGTTCGCCATTCCATAGCAGGATATTGCCGAAGCATACCAGTGACTGAACCAAAGTATTGCCACGACAATGCCGGATCAGATTCGTAATTCTGACGAAACATGTCGTCCAACGGCTCAGTCCTTACGATATCTTTAACTACATCTGGCGTGAGATCAAATACGTTGGTCGGTATATGAACCGATGAGTAACTCGTGTTCACCGGGATGTTGTAAAAGTGCGAGTCCGCGGTCAGTTCCATGTCTCTGGAATCAGTTCGTAATATTCCTTCGTCGATTTATTTCACATGATAGCTTTCCACTTTCGACAGTATATTATTGCGCTCGTATTTATTAATAGTAATTTTCTCAAAATTACTCTGCAAGTCTAACTTAATAAACATATAAAATTACAAAAACATAATTTTAAGAATCAACTTTAGATTCTTTCTAATTGGTTCTATGCAAATGTAAAAAAAAATAATTATGTGCATCATTGGCTCTTAATTCGTCAAAATTCTTGCTCGTTTTAACCCCAATAATTCCGTGACTAATTTTCGTAGGAGGCTATTTAAAATGAAGAAATTTACAGTAAGGCAGAGTAATTTGCTCACCTATACACCTTCACCTTCACGTTCACCTTCTTCTCCTTCACCTCCTTTGTGCAATATTTCTTCTTACTTGCTGAATCATGTCCCATGACAGGACTGCATTTGCTGGAAACGTAGGAGAAGTTACCATGCTCGAGAGATGGATCCCAGCTCTCTGCAGCCGCTTCGGCCGCTATTCGAATGCAGGTGACTGCATCCATCTTTCGACGCAACATCCTACCTACATTTTCGCTGATTGCATTGACCAAATCTTCTCCGGACTTCTTTTCAACTCTCGCGTTCATGCTTTTGTATTTCTAAAAGAATGATCAAGTACCATTCGTTTAACATCAATACTTTGTTATCCGTGCAGCATTAGAAATAATTATGATACTTAAATTGGAGACATTTAGAAAATTATGTAGAAAGAATTGCAATTGCTTTTTGGCAAATAATCATAAAACTGTAAAAAATATTGCAATTTGAATTTTTTCTTACCAAGATAAAATTGAAGAATGTGTTATCTTGCACACAAAATCGCGGAATTGCTTGAATTCTTAGTATTCGATATTTGTTATCTCTATCTAACAGTAAGTAAACACGCATACTCACTTCTAGCAATTCCTCGGGCCGGGCCACTTCGTTCGCGAGTTCCCATAACTCGGTTCCCAGCTTGTCTGCCCATTTGGCCACTCTTGAGAGAAGAAATCGTGAATATTTAATTTAAATAGAAAGTGCATCAATATAATTACAGTTGCATCGAAAAATGTGGTAACAACGATAAGCAATAAATTAAAATACACTATAAAGACAAATAATAATAATTCATTGATAAATTAGTTAATTTTAGACTTGTTGTAGCAATAAAAAATATATATTGTATTATTCAATTCTCTAATTTTTCGAATTCTTAACATTAAAAAAATTCTTTTCTCATTATTTAGTCTTCAATTCATTTACTTAGAGCGCATTCATGACTTTTTCATTCTATACTGCGTAACTATGCGGAACTCACATGTGCGCGTCTTTAGCCCGACACACGACGAACAGCAACATAAAATAAAAGACGAAACATCGACCTGCAGTCGTCGGCATGAACAAAAACCGCCACGTCTGTTTTCGTTTTCTTTTGCTCTAGCGACAGCTACTCGTTCCTGAAGGAACGTTACGTTTCTCAGATTTCTTTCTATGAAAAGCACGGATCCGTGATAGCTCACGATAGCACTCGAGTGGCAGTGACTACTGCGGAACACACTGGCCGCGAAGTTCACCTCCAGTCCGATTATTTTTGGCACTCGAGCAGCGCCGTCTTAAAGCTCTAAAGGTTCCTTCTTGCTTTCTGGCGTGGATATTAATAAAATCATGCCGGCCGGTCAGAACAGCATCTAAAGAAATTGAAATAATTGTTAGAAATGGATTATGAATGCGATTATAAATTTCTAATTTTCAAAACCGGGAAAAGTGTTTTACGAGATATCAAATCTCTTCAATTCTTTCAAGTGATCTACTGCAAATCGTCTATCGCGAGACAATTAAAAAATTAAAGTGTTATCAATATATTAATAGGTTTATTATATTGCACAGTTTACTCGTACAAGATTCGAAAACATTCAAAAAGAAAATTGATATAAAAGTCGTAAAACACATCCAAATTTCCATAGTACTTTTACTAAATCTATGGTAATTGGAATAAAGAAAACACTTCAAATATATGTAAGGTGCTCGTCGCAGCAGTAATCCACGATTATAAATGAATTGAAAATTTTATAAAATATTTTTTAGGAAAATGAGATTCAAATTTATACAATTACTCGTTTTTTCGATCTTTCGATATAAAAAAACTGTGCTATTTTACGTTTTTTACTCATTACTAAAACAATACATTGCGCGCGTTACGCACGTACCATTTAGCATTATCTTTTATATTATACATATACGCATATGTATGTAATATCAGAGTCTGATATTACATATGATACTGGGAATATCAGAGTCTCCCAGCCCTGATGATGCAAACTGCAATGTTTGCGAAACGTCGGCACCATGGCACACTGTAAACGGCCGCGGCAACCATCTGGAAGCCATTACGACTAAATCTATAAGTTAAATGTAATTAATTTATTATTTTTAAAATGAGACCATAGTAGGAAGATCGATTATGTTTGATAAGAATACAATTTTCTTCCAAATTACGGTTATTAAACAGAAATTGTTTTTTAATAGAACGGTACATATACAAAGTTTCTTAAGGTGATGCTGG